GCGAAATTAAATGATAGAAAAATAAAAATCTTAAAAAATAATATTGTATGACTTTATAAATAAAATTTTATAATATAAAATTTATATATAATTTATATATGTAAATTATGTTTAAATATATAACATAAAATAATAATTTATATCAAATTTATATATTTATATATAAACTAAATTTTTATTAAATATAAATTAAAATCGAAGATTGAAGATGTTTATATTTAAATTTAAAATTAGTAATTAATTATATTTAAATATATAACATAAATATAATAATTATTTATATTTAATATTAAAATTATGTAATATATTATATATGTATGAATTTTATTTATTTTTTTGTCTAAAAATTCTTAGAACTAGAAAATTTTTAAGAATAAATTGTCATTATTATTATTTTAATTTTATTACTTTTAATTATATTATTATTTATTACGTCATCCGGTTCGACCCCGGTTCGACCGGTCAAACCGGTCGAACCATGAACCTCTCGTTCTTCCGGTTCGTTGTCCGGTCCGGTTTTCACAACCTTGTTTTCACAACCTTAGTGATAAGTTATCTTAAGTGTATTTATAACAATATGAAAGGTAAGATGGTGATGGTGGGCCTCCAGGTTGGTTTAATTATCTTTTGAAAGGGTTAGGGTTCTACAAACACTAGTTAAAGGTTAAAAGGGGAAAGAAAAGGAGGAGAGCACATAATAATTTAAGTGGATCAATCTTGTTGGCTTATATCCACAAAAAAGAAGAGAAGGAACCATTCTTGTTTCCACCAAACTTTAAGAAAGAGAGACTATAAGTTCTTTAAAAAATCTCCAAAAAGAATGGGAGTATTTAAAAGTAGATGGAAACTTACAATTGTGGATCTAAGAGTGATGTGTGGAGGGAGACCTTTTTCAAGATCATTGTTGGCGTGGAAAGGCAACATAAAGAATATACCCTTTTGCAATAATTATGGTGTATATGAAGTGGACATGTGGTACTTCCAAAGTACTAAAGAAGCATAGAAGTGATGGTTACTAGCTTGTGAAAACCAAAAGATATATCTTGTAGTGCTTGAGGAAATTTTGATGAGAAGAGCTTGAAGCTAGTCCTATATATTAAAGAGTTTGGAAGAGGTGGGCATATAAAGATGAATAGTGTTAGGTACTAATACTATTGTGGAATGAGTGATATATCATCAATTGATTAGAAAAAAGATTTAAAGTTACTTAGACCTTAAAAATAATTGGGTTTTCTTGGAAGTGGGTTAACATCAACTTGAACCTATTTAAATAATGGTGATAGATCAACTAAACTTGAATACTTGAAATTTGAATTTAAATCTTGCCATGTAGTTAGTCCTAATGGAGTAAAAGTAATAAGCATCATAGTAAGTAGTTAATCAATAGTGTGCACTATCAAGTTGATCATTACTATATGAAAGCTTGCTAAGCTGGTAAAAATATTATTTATAATGAATGTGATATAAATTGTTTTTTAATTATTATTGATTTATAATGAAGGTTGAGCTTTCTTATAAGGTTTATTGGTAATGGTATGCATATATGTTGTTAGTGATGAAGTTGGAAGGCATCAGATTTAATATTGATGCCATGCATTATCTTTATAGAAGATGGCATGTTGAAGTTGTTGGCGATGACAGACATTGAAATTTGTATTGATAACGTGCATTATTCTTATAGGCAATCATATGTGTACGTATACATTAAGGTAAATGACGAGAGTTTGTATTGATGTTGATGATGTGCATTGCTAAAGTCAATGAGCATCATTCTTTTTGTCGATAGTATGCATCATTCTTATAGGTGATGTGGATCATAACAGGTAGAACTCTATACTAAGTTGGACGTGCCACACACTGATTGTTTAATGAGTCTTTAGGTAAGTTAGAAAGCAAATTGGAGCAATGAATTTTAATTCCTAAAATATTATTTGGGAGTGTTATGGCGCTAGGCAGGCATTGCCGTGGCGTTGAGCTCACCAATGGAAAAATGAGTTTATATCAGCATTGTGGCATTGGGTGGAATTAAAAAGATTTAGTTTAGCATTGTGGTGCTAAGGAGCTAATGCTATGTGGTGCTAAGGAGCTAACGCTATGACACTAAGTCAAATTATTGGTTTTATATATAATTAAAATATCTTAAACCATTAGCTAACTAAGCCTAACCCCTCACCCGACCATCTTGTTAGATAAGAAAGCAAGAGAAGAGAAGAGGAGAGAGATTTTGAAGGCCAAAGCTCAAGTTTCATCCATCGGGCCAGTTAGAAATTTTATAGAGTACGAGATAGACTTTTGAACTCCTATCTTTGATTTCAATTCTAGTAATTTTATAAAAAGATATGGATAAAAATGTATTTTTATTTATATGTCTGATAAGTGGAATGCACTCTCTGATATATTACAAGAATCATATTTGTTCTATTTTGGCCCAATCTACATAGTGTGGATATGGGAGGGGTTCTAACCCCGCTTGCTAAAAGTAGGTGTGAGAAGTTAAGTAGTATTGTTTTATTCTAATTCTTTCCCTACTTGCTAGAAGTGGGTGTGGGTGGTTAAATTGATATATAAGTGGAAATGGAGTAATAATCATTGTGATATGTGTATTATATTTATTGCATTGCATATGTATTAATGAATTAAATATAAGTAATATATTGAATTGAATGTATAAATTCCCAAATTTCTATATGAGCCTTGATTAAATGTGAAGGCCAAATGCAAGTGAATCTTTGATGGTAAGTGTTATGCGATGTATATGGAAATCTCTGTGAAAGTGAATTTATAAGTCTAAGTGATAATTTTGAAATCAATTATATACTGAAACCCTTAAAAATTGTTTTTAACTAATACTTCATTTATTCCTTATAAGTTACTGTCCTTTTAAGTATATTGCAATTTAATTTAAATATTGATATATGTGATGGGTCAAGAAGAAAAAAATTATTGTACTAGTTGTGCTCATTATGTTCTTTCTAATATTTTATGGAAAGATAAAGGCCCAATGGTGTAGATAAAGGGTTGATACAAAATCTTCCGAGTCTTAGTAGATTGAGGCACCTCTTTCTATTAGATCCTAAGGCATCATAATTTGTGATGATGGCACACATCAACCTTATAAATGATGGTGTTCATCAATGTTATAGATGATCACTAGCAATGATGTCAGTGAACAATAGTGTTTTATGTTGATAGTGTGCATAAGCCTTATAAGTGATGGTGTGTCGATGTTTTAACAATGAAGTTGGTAAGAGATGACTGCCAGACAATGATGATTGGACTATAAAGGTCAGCTGTCGAAAGTTGGGTGACTGTGATTAGATAATGATGGTTGTTGATAGTGAAGTCAACATTAAACTTTGGGGTGGAGCTCTTGAGTTCTTTAGATATACATGCACCCTCTTTAATTTTGAGTCAAGGTTAAAATTAGACAACTAAAATCAAGTGATGGTGGTTATTGGTGGTGAAGTTGGTATTGAACTTTGAGTGAGGCTTTTGAGTTCTTTAGATCTACAAGCTTTTCATCTATGATGGGTCAAAAAAAAAAGTCAATTGTACTGGTTGTGCTCATTCTGTTCTTTCTAATATTTTATGGAAAGATAAACATCTAGTGGAGTAGATAAAGGGTAGATGCAAGAGCTTCTAAGTATTAGTAGATTGATGCACCTTTTTGTAATCCAATTTAATTATTTTAAATGTATATAGGATTGTTAAGTTGAATTAATATATAATTTTTGATGGAATAAAATATGTTAGGCTATTTAGTATTTAAATTTTAATAGCTCTGATTGTCTCTCTTGGTAGCATAGTTTTTTTAATTATAGGTTTAAAATTTCAATCATTTCATTAGATCCTAAGACGTCACAATTTGTGACGATGGCACACATCGACCTTATAGGCGATGGTGTTCATCAATGTTATAGATGGTCATTGTTTGTCAGTAAGCATTAGTGTTTTATGTTGACAATGTGCATAAGTTTTATAAGTGATGGTGTGTCGATATTTTATTAACTATGAAGTTAGTAGGAGATGATAGTCATGCGATGGTGATTGGACTATGAAGGTCGGTTGTTGAAAGTTGGCAATTATAATTAGATAGTGATGGCTATTGGTGGTGAAGTCAGCATCAAACTTTGGGGTGTAGCTCTTAAGTTCTTTAGATATACCTAACCCCTCTTTCATTTTGAGTGAAGTTCAAAGTTAAGCAACTATAATCAAGCGATGATGGATGAGCTTTGATGGTTGGTGGTGTTGAACTCGACATTGAACTTTTGAGTTCTTTAGATATATAAGCTCTCTCTCAAATTTCAAGTCAAGGTTAATCCTCCCAAATGAAAAGAATAAATGATAGAAGTTTATTTATATTTTCCTTAAGTGATATTTTGACAATTTTAACCCAAATTCCCAAAAGACCCTATCGATGACTTGTATTATATCCTTTGATTATAAATAATTCTTTCAATAATTAAATGCCTCAATGAAGCTAGAATTCATTGATCTTAAGCTCATTAGATTTCTGACATTTAGTTGTTAAATGCTTGATTTGAGCTTGTTTATATCATATCAAATCACTTTGGTGTCATTGGTTTTTGTTATTAAAACTTTTAGTTTTATTATAAATTTGCTAAAATTGAAATTCAAAGGGTCCTCAATTTAATTGCAAAAGTTTTCTTCTCATATACTACATTGAGAATTATAATTGAGCAAATGAAGTTTTTTATTTCGAATTAAATATAAGTAATTGTAATATTATAATATACATTAGATTTAAAAGTATTTTGATAATTTTTTTAATTAGAATGAACTTTAAATATATTAAATTTATTTCAAAATTAATATAATATAAAATTTAAAATTTTATTAATATATTATACATTTATCAAAATATATTTAATTTATTTAAAACAGAATTTCCTAAAATAAAATTTTCCAAATTAAGTACATGTAATTCCAAACCTACGATTCCGTTAGACCTCGTAATTATGAGGAGACAATAATAGAAGCAGCAACCATGATCTAAATATTGATTCTCATCGCCGTATAAGAAGAAACTTGCAGACTTATCTGAAGGACGGTCGGAAGTTCGCGGACTCGACGGGACAATCCGAACACCGATGCCCTAATTCTCTGTCTGAAACGGAAAGAGCAGATCGGAGAGTCGAATGGTTTACCTTCTCTAAGATCTGCTTCTGACGGAAAAATTGCCATGGCGGAGGGAAGGAGGAGGCGCTCCTCCTTCGAAGAACGCCCGCCTAGTCCCGTTAAGCATCCATCCACCTCCTCGTCTGGCAACGACAACCCACCGGCCCTCGACGGCTCCTTTCTTCTACAGCTTCTTCAGAAGAAGCCACATGCAACTTCATCCTCTTCCTCAAATCCTGTTCTTCCCCACGAAGCTCTACGCCCTTACCAGGACCCTGCCGTAGCTGCGATCGGCCGTGGCTTTCCCTTTCTTCCTCATAGCTTACTGTCTCATCCCCAGCCTTCCTGGGAACCCCAAAGCTTATTTTCTTCTCTTGATGCCGGGAACCGCAACCTCGCGGGAGGGCAGCAGTTCTTCCCAACGGACGACAGGACGTTAGGGTTTTTGCCGAGTGGTGTCATTCCTCCCAATTCCGCTCCATTGAACAGTAATCTACGTCGGATTTCTTCGAGCTCGCCTCATGACGGGTTTTTGGCGTCTAATCGGACGAGGAACTTAAGCGGGAAGGTTTCTGGTTATCGGGGCCAACAGGAGAGAGTTTCTATTAGACCTCCTCCTGGATTTGGGAAAGTCGGATCTGATGGTTTGGCTGAATTTAATAATCAAGTGGAATGTGGTGCCCGTAGTCAAATTGGTTATACTGGGTCTAACCAGCAGTGGAGGCCGCATAGTCGTCCTGAGTGGAGACCCGCTTACAATGAGGAAGGAAGGAGTGCAACAGCATTTAAAATGTCGCAGAGATTGAATTCTCAAAATGATAGTGTTGAGAAACGGGATGTGAAACGAAGGGGCGGGAGGATCTTAGATAATGATGCACGGTGTAGAGGATTGCCAAATGGATTTACTGTTAATGGAGAAAAGCATTCTCAATCTGGTTATTCAGGTCTTCCTATTCTGAACAACTGTGATTCCATAGGAGAGAAACATAGTGAAGAATCTGATAAAGATTTGATGGATAATGAAATTGATGAAAAAAGCATTGAGATTTTGGAAGAATTGGATCATGTTGAAATTGGACAATTTTCTTCTAGAAATGAGGCTTGCAATGAAGAGGATTTGCTGGGCAAACACCTTACAGTTTCTCTTAGTGAAAATTTGACTTTAAGGGAAGCAAAAGGCATAAAAAATTCACGGTATAAGGTACCCAAATTTTCATCTACCTTTTCTTTACCTTACACTCATTGGTACGATCATTTACATGGTTAATTGACACAGTTGTTTGGATTGTTGACATTTTTGTTTTTTAGTTATTATTATTATTATTTTTATTATTTTGCATAGGTATTTTTGGGTTTCATGCTATTGTAACAATAAATGTAAGCGTTTGTTTTATTGACATGGTTGCAACTTTCTAAATGCCAATTTAACCCGAAATAGTTGTCCTGCATCTTGATAGTTGCTATCTTGACGGCTAAAAGAAATAAAAAAATAGAAACAAAATGGAGAATCACCATTTACCATTCTAAAGGTTTGATGGAAAGTTCATGTCTCTTTTGCTAACATAAAGATTGGGCTTTCCTTGTCTATTCATTCCCCAACAGACCTCCCCCGGCACTGAATCGAAACTGGGGGGAATTCCAACTTCAAGCTTCAACATATGAGATTTGCGGATGCCCTTTATCTGGAAGATTGAAGGGATGCCATCTTATAAACTTTATTACTCGATCTTATACAGAAATTGATAAACTACATTGACTTTGAGATAACATGTTCATGTCAATAATATGTTGCAATCTCAAACCGTAGTGAATCAAGAAGCCCATTTATCCATTTCTTCTTAGTAAGCAAATAATTTCTCTACATCATCACTCCTCTTGAAGAAAAAGACGTTTCTCTATCCCCTCTCTCAACGTCAGCAACATTGTTTCCCTTTTCATCACTTTTTGGTGTTAATTTTATAAATCCTTTCCATTCATTCTTATTTAGCATTAAATATGGTGTTAATTATTTTTGTGAAAAGCTTTTTACATATATTGTAACCATGTTACATCTTGTCTAGCACAATCCTTTGTTATACTTTCACACTGATGTCCAGCTGATTTGTTTGTGCATCTTGTACCTTATGTTGTAAATGCTTAAACACTAACATACATTTTGCAAAAGATAATCTTCAAGAAATGATGACTTTTACAGCTCTAATATAGTTTTTTAAGGTTTTACTGCATATATCTCTAAGGGTGCCAATTGATGTTATGATTGCATTTCAGTTTCAGCCCGAAAATAACCGGACATGAATATGGACAACTTGAACCCTACTTGTTTAATAGGCATGCCAAAAATCTCAACTCAAACCTACTCAATCAAACCCAAACCAAACAGACATGACATTAACAATATTTAAACTGTGATAGACTAATGTCAACTCGACCAAAAATGTTAGCAATTATCCAATTTAGTCATGAAACTCGAGAAAACTAATAAAAAAATATAATTTGATATGATAATATCATTAAAAAAGAATCAAATAGTAAAATTATTATTTTTTATTTGACTCGAACTCAACTTTTTTTTTCCTCCAAGTTACTTATTTTGACACAAATCCAAGCCGAATATTACACGGTTTCTCAAATTCGGATTTTTCATTTATGGACCAATATTGAGGTTACTATATGCATCTTTACATTTCCTTCGTTCTCACCTTGGTTATGTATGCCTTCTTTATTGCTTTAACACTCATATCCATATGTGTTATTTATTTACTCGATTTATTTGGAAAGTAATAATAGAAATATTTCTATGGAGATTGGAGGGCTTTGATTCTACCGTGGGATATATAAATTAATATGCAGCCTTACAATCCCCGTGATAACCTTTTAGATGGTTGGATTTCAACAATTGCAAGGGAGATCCTAAGCTTGAATTTGTAAGCTTTGGATGTTTTAGTGGCGTACCCTCTTTGTTATTTTTTTTTTAAGGCATAATATTATACTCTTAAAATGATATGAGTATGACTAGGGTAATTACAATGAATTGCCAGCAAAAAAAATGCAAAGATAACATGATAACTAGATATGAAACATCCAATGGATCATGAAAGCTACAAAACAAAAACTCATTCGGATCATCTTACTTGAGGCTTTGTGAATATACAATGGAGTGGCGATAGATTTTATTTTTTGATTCTTGTTCTGTATGGTAAGTAAAATTTGAAACCCTCTATAAACTAGAGTATCCATACTCTGAATACTCATCCTCATTCATAAGGTTGCTAAGAATCATGATCACACCTGACATGCCTATGAATCTACCTTAGTCAAAATCTTACATATGCTTATATTTTATGTTTCCTCTCCAATTTTATAGTTTCATCTTTTTCAATTGTTGAACTTTTAAAGAAAACAGTTTTGTTAGAATGTTACTTTATCATTTATTGATTGATAATAAAAATATCTATAAGATCCTTTCCAAGTTTTTTTTTCCTTATTTAAGTAGTTACATCTTTTACTATTGCGCTCGGATTAAGTTCAAATTGCTAAGAATGATCCGACATAAAAATATGCTATCTTGGCAAAATAATTCATAACATGTATTTTTTGGTAAAATGACAAAAGGAGGAATTACTTGTCACAAATATTTTTTTGGGGGTTTATAAATGTTAAAGTTTGTACTAACCGCCCCCCTCAATGTATGAAAGATAAAATTTAGGAGTCTTTGTAAAAGAAAAAAATCATAGTCCAAATTAATGAAATTTCACATATTAATATTGATGAAAGTGATATTTTTGATATGATGCTGGATATGGGTTTTGATTTGATATGATGTTGGATGAATAATAGTTTGGCATTCATATTTAACCGCATTTTTATTCATTATTTTAATTTTTTTTTGCATTATGTTTAAAATAGCATGCGGTGCGCTGTGTGCTAAGCTTTATGGCTTCACAGGGACCTTAGCACTATAGCGTATTATTTTCCATTAACAAGTTTTTGAAGGTCAAATTTGAACATTTGGCTATAGCTTTTGCGCCTAATAGTTAAATTATTATAATAAAATGATAAAATGATAAAAATATGAGAAATTAGAAAAAAAAGTAATAAAGAATTACTTAATATCAGAAAATAGAATATAAATTTCTATTATTTTAACAACTTTATATTTAAAATCTTGAATGCTAATATATTTTAATTATATTTCATATTAATATTTATTAAACGAGTTGGCTTGAGAGCTAATGAGTCGAGTCAGGTCTAGCTCAAGCTTGATTTGTTAGCTCATTTAGCTCAGCTGATGAGCCATTTATCGACTCGTGCCCAAGCCAGCTCGCTAGTCGGCTTGACTCACTTACACTGCTAATATGGACAATAAGAAAAAGTCTGGTATGGTTTTCTTATGAAGAAAGTTTTATGATGACATAACATGGGTCAATGAGCACAACAAAATAGTCACCGATCAAATATATGTCAAACATGAATTTACAAATTATGTCATAAGTAGGGTCGGCTTAAAGAGGATTTACTGACAATCAAAAAAGAAGGGATGAACTTCAACGAAACAAGGAGGCATTGAGGTAGGAAGTGGTGATGTGAGTCTAACTAGGAAATCAACTATAGCCTTAGGTACAATCAGTGTGGTAGGGGTGAGGATAGGGAATGCCTGCATATGCTACCCACCCAGAGAGGATGAGGACATGAGTGGTAAATATTTGGAATGAGGAAATAAGAAATTAACCTCGAGGAAACAACGTCTATTTACAAATGAGAGAGAAGTTATGGCTGAAGTCTTACTTGTCTGAGAGATTCATACATAAAAAAATCAAGGCAAAGGCAGAGGTAGAGGCACAACCCTACGCATAGGAACGAGGTGAGGCCAACGCGGGCAACTTTCGAATGCAACGTTTTACACTTAGCTGAAGAGAGTCAACTTGCCAAGAAAGCCCTGTTTGAGGCAAGCGCCTCATTCACATGAGCACAAGGCACGATCTTTTGCATAATGATGGGACAAAATAGGGAGTTGCACCTTGATGAGAGCCGGGACCTCCTAGCCCAGAACAATGATACCATCTCATTTACAAATTTTTATTGTGCAAGCGAGAAGAAGAAGAAATAAATGTTACCTTGGTGTCATGTGGTTTTTGAAATGAACTATATTGTTTTTATATTTCTTGTAGTAATCATCATGTTGGTGTGAGGTAATCTTATTCATTGTGATTCTTCGGGCTTTTTTTTAGTGTAGGTTTTCATGGGATTTGGGAAGTGGATGGTTAGTGATCTTTTAGTTTCTATCAAGATTGTGGATTTTGTATATTTTTAATGGATCAATTCATCTTTCCTCTTCCATGGACATATACTTAGTTGAAGTTGAATCATGTAAATCTTGATACCTTTAGTGTTGTATTTTCTCTCTCTTATGTATTCATCTTTGGGACAAGTCATTCTTAATCTTGGTGATGCTTCCGCATAAAGTTAGTTAATACTCTCTTATGCAAGATTAAGCGAAATAAATCATACAAATAGATATTTAAGCTAAGAGACCATCAAAGACAACAACATATACTTTATAAACATTAAGAACAATAAGAAAATTTGAACTATTAGATCATGTGATAGTAAGAAACTAACAAACAAAGGCTAAACAATAACAAAGACGAATTAGTTTAGACTAGCTTATAGGGTTGACACAAGTCCAACATTTAATTAAGGGACTAGTCACTAGAGTTTATGTTTGCTCAATTTAAGTAGAACTTGATGGATTAATCAACACATATAAGATGATGCTACTATAGATGAAATGAGAAGACCAATATTTAGTTAGATGAAGACAAGGGGAGGGTTTGATAGTTAGCTCATGAATGGGAGGAATGTAGTCCTTGATGAAGTGACTTTGGCTTGCCCTTGAAACTCTTGCTCTTTGTTGAATCAATGTCCTTATTGCATTAGTAGAAGCTAAGTTTCTTTGGAGAGGTAGAGAGAAGAAAGTTTCAGCTATATGAGGATTTGAAAGTGAAGAGCTCACGTTTTTGGGGTTTGGAGAGGTGAACTAGGCTGGTTGCATGGGGAGGAGGAGAGGAGAGATGATTTGACTGATTTGAATGACTTGGAAAGGGAGAATTTAGCTTGGGAAGTGAAGAGGTGAGACTGGCTACTTGGGGAAGAGAAAAAGCTGATTTTGTTTGCTTGGGAAGTGAATTAGTTGGCTTAGGA